AGTTTAGTCCTGGTTCAGTCCTGGTTTAGTCCTGGTTTAGTCCTGGTTCAGTCCTGGTTCAGTCCTGGTTCAGTCATGGTTCAGTCCTGGTTTAGTCCTGGTTTAGTCCTGGTTCAGTCCTAGTTTAGTCCTGGTTCAGTCCTAGTTTAGTCCTAGTTTAGTCTTTGTTAAATCCTGGTTTAGTCTTAGTTTAGTCCTGGTTCATTTCTGGTTAAGTCCTGGTTTAGTCCTAGTTCAGTCCTGCTTCAGTCCTGGTTTAGTCCTGGTTTAGTCCTGGTTCAGTCCTGGTTCAGTTCTGTTTCAGTCCTAGTTTAGTCCTAGTTTAGTCCTTGTCCTGGTTTAGTCTTAGTTCTGGTTCCTGGTTAGTCCTTTAGTCCTGGTTCAGTCCTGGTTTAGTCCTGGTTAGTCCTGTTTAGTCCTGGTTCAGTCCTGGTTTCAGTCCTGGTTCAGTCCTGGTTTCAGTCCTGGTTTAGTCCTGGTTCAGTCCTGGTTTAGTCCTGGTTTAGTCCTGGTTAGTCCTGGTTCAGTCCTGGTTAGTCCTGGTTCAGTCCTGGTTTAGTCCTGGTTTAGTCCTGGTTTAGTCCTGGTTCAGTCCTGGTTTAGTCCTGGTTTCAGTCCTGGTTTCAGTCCTGGTTCAGTCCTGGTTCAGTCCTGGTTTAGTCCTGGTTCAGTCCTGGTTCAGTCCTGGTTCAGTCCTGGTTCAGTCCTGGTTTAGTCCTGGTTTTAGTCCTGGTTCAGTTCCTGGTTTAGTCCTGGTTCAGTCCTGGTTTAGTCCTGGTTTAGTCTTGTTTAGTCCTGGTTTAGTCTTAGTTTAGTCCTGGTTCATTCCTGGTTCAGTTGGTTTAGTCCTCAGTTTCAGTCCTGGTTTCAGTCCTGGTTTAGTCCTGGTTTAGTCCTGGTTTAGTCCTGGTTCAGTCCTGTTTCAGTCCTGGTTTAGTCCTGGTTTAGTCCTTGTTAAATCCTGGTTTAGTCTGGTTTAGTCCTGGTTCAGTTCCTGGTTAGTTCTGGTTTAGTCCTGGTTCAGTCCTGGTTTAGTCCTGGTTCAGTCCTGGTTCAGTCCTGGATCAGTCCTTTTCAGATATTTTAATCATGTTTTCACTGTTTCCATTTTTCATTTATCCTCTCAAAGTTGCATTTGGAGTGATTTGTGCAAGTTTGAGTATCTTTAATCTCTTATTTTCACTTTGATACGTGCAGGATTTGGATTTTGGTCCAAATGGAAGAAAAAGAAAAAAAAAGTTTGTTTCTCACTAATTTGATCTGCAGCTGTCCTGTCCCTGGGCAAATAGTTGCTGAAACAGGCGAGTTTTAACTTTCTAGAATTTTACAAGCGGGTATTAATTACACACGGGCAGGTCAGGACTAAATCAGGACTAAACCAGGACTACACCAGGTCTGATCTTGGACTTAGGAGAGAGAGAACCTCGAGCCCGTGGAGCAGGGTCAGTCCGCAATTTAGTCCTGAGTCCTGGTTCAGTCCTGGTTCAGTCCTGGGTCCTCAGTCTTAGTCCAGTCCTGGGGTTCCAGTCACAGTCCAGTCCTGGTTTAGTCCTGGTTTAGTCCTTTAGTCCTGGTTTCAGTCCTGGTTTCAGTCCTGGTTCAGTCCAGTCCTGGTTCAGTCCTGGTTTAGTCCTGGTTTAGTCCTGTTTAGTCCTCAGGGTTTAGTCCTGGTTCAGTCCTGGTTTCAGTCCTGGTTTAGTCCAGTCCTGGTTAGTCAGTCCTCAGTCCTGGTTCAGTCCTGGTTCAGTCATCAGTCCTGGTTTCAGTCAGTTTAGGGTTCAGTCCTGGTTTAATCAGTCCTGGTTCAGTCCTGGTTAGTCCTGGTTTTCAGTCAGTCAGTCCTGGTTTCAGTCCTGGGTGGTTCAGTCCTGGTTCAGTCCTGGTTCAGTCCTGGTCAGTCTGGTTTAGTCCTGGTTTAGTCCTGTTTAGTTTTCAGTCCTGGGTTTCAGTCCTGGTTCAGTCCTGGTTTCGGTTTAGTCCTGGTTCAGTCCAGTCCTGGTGGTTCAGTCCTGGTTTCAGTCCTGGTTTAGTCCTAGTCCTTTAGTTCCCAGTCCTGGTTTCAGTCCTGGTTCAGTCCTGGTTCAGTCCTGGTTTAGTCCTGGTTTAGTTTCCGGTTTAGTCCTGGTTCCTGGTTTAGTCCTGGTTTCAGTCCTGGTTTAGTCCTGGTTCAGTCCTGGTTTCAGTCCTGGTTTAGTCCTGGTTTAGTCCTGGTTTAGTCCTGGTTTAGTCCTGGTTTAGTCCTGGTTTAGTCCTGGTTTAGTCCTGGTTTCAGTCCTGGTTTCAGTCCTGGTTCAGTCCTGGTTTAGTCCTGGTTCAGTCCTGGTCCTGGTTAGTCCTGGGTGGTTCAGTCCTGGTTCAGTCCTGGTTCAGTCCTGGTTTAGTCCTGGTTCAGTCCTGGTTCAGTCCTGGTTCAGTCCTGGTTTAGTCCTGGTTCAGTCCTGGTTCAGTCCTGGTTTAGTCCTGGTTCAGTCCTGGTTTAGTCCTGGTTTAGTCCTGGTTTAGTCCAGTCCTGGTTTAGTCAGTCCTGGTTTAGTCCTGGTTTAGTCCTGGTTTTAGTCCTGGTTTTAGTCCAGGTTTAGTTCCTGGTTTAGTTTAGTCCTGGTTTCAGTCCTGGTTTAGTCCTGGTTAGTCCTGGTTTAGTCCTGGTTCAGTCCTGGTTTCAGTCCTGGTTCAGTCCTGGTTTAGTCCAGTCCTGGTTTAGTCCTGGTTTAGTCCAGGTTTAGTTTCAGTCCTGGTTTAGTCCTGGTTTAGTCCTGGTTTAGTTCTGGTTTAGTCCTTGGCGTGTGCAGCTCAAAAGTCCATCATCTCGATCGATGTTTCTTCTTCTCAGTAAATAAAACCTGTGAAGTTTTGACAGTCGAGTCTCGTCTGTGAGTTCGTGTTCATACTGAAGAAATCGTAACCGTTTCATTTCATTTCGTGATTATGATTCTTGACGTTGTAACTTTTCAATTCGTATTCTGATCTCCGCTTCACTTAGAAACCTTTTCATTTGTGTGTGATTTATCTGCTCCAAGTTACACAATGCACCTTTAAACGTGCAAGAAATGAGTTTAAATCAATTCACAGATCCACTTTTTTTTTTATATATATATACAATCTTGTGTGAATGAAATTATTTACAAGTTTTGTGAGTCACGTTGGCGTCCGTCCTGTGAGCAGACGACTTGTTTGAGCCACGGAGAAAAAGACGAGTGGATCTGGAGATGAGTGAGACGGAGAGAATAAGTCTGAGCCTGTTCCTCTGGGCCCCGCGTGGGCTCAGATTAGACTCAGCACGACTGAAGAAGAGCGAGTCGAACAAAGCAACAGGAAGTCCTTTTTAGGCCGGGTTTAGTTCTGGTTTTTGTACTAGTTTAGTTCTCCTTTAGTCCCAGTCTAGTCCTGGTTTAGTGTCTGTTTTAGTCCTGGTTTAGTTCTGGTTTAATCATGTTTTACTCCTGGTTTAGTCTTGTTGTAGTTCCGGTTTAGTCCTGGTTTAGTCCTGGTTTAGTTCTGGTTTAGTACTGTTGGTTTAGTCCTGGTTTAGTCCTGGTTTAGCTCTGATTTAGTTCTTGGGTAGTCCTGGTTTAGTCCTGGTTTAGTCCTGGTTTAGTCGTGGCTTAGTCCTTCTTTAGTCCTGTTTTCGTACTGTTGGTTAATTCCTGGTTTAGTCCTGGTTTAGCTCAGATCTAGTTATCGGTTAGTCCTAATTTAGTTCTGGTTTAGTTTTGGTTTAGTCCTGTTAGTTGAGTCCTGGTTTAGTCCTGGTTTAGTCCTGCTGTAGCTCTGGTTTAGTTCTTGGTTAGTCCTGATTTAGTCCTACTTTAGTTCTGTTTTAGTCCTGGTTTAGTTCTGGTTTAATTTTGGTTTAGTCCTGTTTTAGTCTTGGTTTAGTCCTGGTTTAGTTCTGGTTTAATTTTGGTTTAGTCCTGTTTTAGTCCTGGTTTAGTCCCATTTTAGTCCTGTTTTTGTCTTGTTTATTGTCCTGGTTTAGTCCTGGTTTAGTCCTGATTTAGTCCTGGTTTAGTCCTGATTTAGTTCTGGTTTAGTTTTGGTTTAGTACTGTTAGTTGAGTCCTGGTTTAGTCCTGGTTTAGTCCTGCTGTAGCTCTGGTTTAGTTCTTGGTTAGTCCTGATTTAGTCTTGGTTTAGTTCTGGTTTACTCCTGATTTAGTCCTGGTTTAGTTCTGGTTTATTTCTATTTTAGTCCTGTTTATTTTAGTCCTGTTTTGTAGTCTTGTTTATTTAGTCCTGGTTTAGTCCTGATTTAGTCTTGGTTTAGTCCCTGGTTTAGTCCTGTTTTAGTCCTGTTTTTGTCTTATTTTAGTCCTGGTTTTGTCTTATTTTAGTCCTGGTTTAGTCCTGTTTTAGTCTTGTTTTAGTCCTGATTTAGTCCTGGTTTAGTCCTGATTTAGTTCTCATTTAGTCCTGTTTTAGTCCTGGTTTAGTCCTGGTTTAGTCCTGTTTTAGTCCTTGTTTAGTCCTGTTTTAGTCCTGTCTTAGTCCTGGGTTAGTCCTGGTTTAATAATTGAGTTTTTACCCATACAGTGTTGGACTTGATGAGCAGAGACTAATGAAGCCTTTGGAGTTTGAGCGACGTGTGTTTCATAACTGGACGTATAATTTATGTAAAAATCGGTACTTCATCAATTTTGTAAAATAAAACTCGAAAGATGTTGTTAGAATTACTTAAATTATGAATTATGAGTTACTTTGACAAGTTTAGCTTTTTTAATTATTTCATCCGCTTCATTTATTCTATTAAAAATGTCTGGAACAGGGTGTTTTTCTCTCAAGGCCAATTATTTTGTTTTTCTCTCAGACAATTAAAATGCGTAGTTAATGAGAATATATTTATTTTACTCATTAAACTACAAACATGGCGGCCTTTGGAATCTTCAGTTTCCTGGCGTCTCCAACTCCGGCTTCCTTTTCATTCAGTCTGAACTTTTTGAGCTGTTTTTCCCGTCCTCTCTTTTCTAAACTTCGACTCTTATTGTTTATTTTTGTGTGTTGTAGCCATGAAGTCTGACCGTAAGCGTCTGAAGGCGGAGAAGGCCGACCTGGTGAATCAGATGCAGCAGCTGTACGCCACTCTGGAGAGCCGCGAGGAGCAGCTCCGAGACTTCATCCGCAACTACGAACAGCACCGGAAGGTACAGTGTGTGTGGAGACAGGAGCGGGAATCAGGTCTTTTTGGAGTACAGATTTAATTTAAGTAATATTTTAGACTCCCAAAGTGCTTTACAGTACATTATTTAGTCACTCAAAAAGTAAGTTACGACATTTACGTTACAAGTGCGGCCTGTCAGTCTGCACCTCCAACCCCTCACGCGCTGTACTCGAGTATTTAAATGGACATATCTCATCCGCGAGCTGCCATGTTCCAAATAGGCAACGATCATTGAGGCGCTTCCGGCTCAATTGATTGTTTCTAATTTACTTTATACGTTGAGAAATAACTCACCCTTCTCTTTGTAGCTGCTGCTGTGGGCCTGTTCTTGTCTAGTTCTTTACACACGCTCCACATTCATACGGGCAATTTAAAAGGCCACTAAACACCAAAATTAGGGAGGTCCCGATCACATTTTTTTCTGCCCCTGAGTCCGAGTCCAAGTCCTTTGATTTTGAGTATCTACTGATACCGAGTCCCGATCCGATACTGCTATAAAAATTATGAAATGAACTAAGAGCAAAGAATAAGATCCAGGATGTGTGAGAGATCAGATTGTATTGATTTCATGTGTAGTATTTGGGTTGAACTTAGTGTGAAAAATCAAATGTCCAAAAATAATTTGATTAACTTTTCTAACCATGAACCATCATTGTTAAAAATTTTGACTTTTCACAGTCTGATCTTGGAATGTGTAACTTAGTCGTTATATTTAATGAACTGGATAAAACAGGAACCAAACCAGAATCAGATCAGACTGAGACTAGACTCTGCACAATCTAGAGTTTGTATATTTGATAATCTATGGAGGCATGTGCATTACATGTGAAACATTTGAAGATCTTACCAAATAAAAATGAGATGACAGAAGCCCCACAGCCTCTGTGCCCCGGTCGCCCCCACTGCCCCGCACCACCAACACATCCACAAACCCACAGCGAAGCGCGCGCCGCAACATTGGTCCCACCACTCAATAGACACTTCATGCTGCTTTTCCCACCCTCCCCGCCAAAAGCGCCAACTCCATTGCACAATATGCAAACAAACGCACAGTTATGAACACGGGCCACAAAACCACATGTAACAGCACCCGAGCTCGGCACGGCCCAAAATTCCCAGCGCGAGAGCGCCTCTAGTACAGCAGGTGCTGGGACAGACAGTCACGCTGACTGGATTCCCCTGAGCAAATCTCACGCCTCAGTAAAAAAAAACAAAAAACTATTGTATTCCGTGTGTCCTGTGTGCACTGTGTGTTATATACAGATATTATTCATCCACTACCGGATCGGACCGCAGTCATGTAATCAGCACCAATTTCCAATCACGTGATCGGAAAGGGACAACTCTAACCAAAATCACTTTTTTCTACTGATTATCTGTGTACTTGAATCTAAAATAGAAGTATATCTCTATCACTGGCCTTATTTTAGTGCATATTTGTAAAAAATCTGACAATTGGGTCAAAAGTCACGTCTGTAACGGCCTCTTTAGGATCAACTATGGCCAGGACATTTGAACAGGTTGGACTAACGGCCGCCAATGAGTCAGATGCAGGTTATTACATGACGAGCACAGACACTGGCGTCTACAGGCGAGACATGATCCGTCTCAGCCCCGCCTGGAACCACCGGGCACTGCGATCTCCTGCTGTGTCTGGAGAAAAGAGAAACGGCGTGAACCAAGCACAAATGTCCGCTCTGTTTCAAAGCCCAGAGTGCACCGGTCCACACCGTGTTGGATTGTTGTGGCTGGTCAATCATCGCTCCACAGCCTCCCCCTCACCTGTTCCCCCCAACTCGCCAGACTCCATCCACTCTGGAGGATTTTTCAGACTTTGCTTTAGGAGCAGAGTAAAGCTTCCGGAGGGTGTTTAATGTCTCTTTAAGTGAAGGACACAACTGCAGTTTCCACTAGAGCCACTTCTGACCCTTAGTTGCTTAGTGTCTGTTGCATTAGTTTGTTCTGTTGCCACATAGCAGGAAAGTTCTAGCCATTCTATTGTTTCTGTTCTTTGTTCTGTCATTTAGTCACTATTTAGTTCTATGCAGGAGACATTATTTTGAGTTAATCATAGCAGACATTCTGTTCAGTCAGGTGGCGTTATCGATTCCCATTACAATGAACGAAGTAAAAATCTGTTTGCACTGAAAAATCTGAGGTATTATTTAGTATTGTACACATGTGATGGATCCCTGTGCCGGTGTTTGTGAAGGTTGTAGCCCTCCCTTGAGGATGTTTGTGTGTTCCAGGAGAGCGAGGACGCGGTGAAGGCTCTGGCCAAAGAGAAGGATCTGCTGGAGAGAGAGAAGTGGGACCTGAGGAGACAGACCAAGGAGGCCACAGAGCTCACAGCCCTGCTCCGCACTCAGCTCGACCTCAAGGAGAACCGCATCAAGGAGCTGGAGGCGGAGCTCGCCATGGTGAGGGACAGAAGGGAGAGTTCACTTAAAGGGCCTGTATATTACGCTAAACTGACTCCTGTGAGCTTTTAGACATGTTATACAGTAATGTTTTTACCTCATCAGAAACAGACCTGGAGTTGTGTTTTGTTTCATTCATATGTGTTTGAGTAATCCTGCATTATTAGTCTGTCTACATCTATAATAAAAATAATAATGCATCAGTTTTATGTAGCACTTTTCCAGACACTCAAAGACACTTTACAGATCATGATTCATTCACTTCACACTCGGTGATGGTAAATTACTTTATAGCCTCGGCTTTTTGGGGCAGACTGGCAGAAGAGAGGCTGCCAATCTTCGCCTTCAGCCTCTCCAACCACCACTATCACTCAAACACCACTTTCATACTAGACAATGTGTCTGAAGCGTCTTGCCTAAGGACACAACAATATTTTTTTCCGACTGGCGCTCCACTGTGGCATCTGGTGTTCCCAGTGGTCTCCCATCCAAGTACATACAGGCCTGGCCCTGCTTAGCCTCTGAAATGACGAGATCAGGCTTTAATAACGAGGTATGACCACACTTTAAGCTCATTATGCTCTGTTCCACCTTGAGATGTCATGAAGTGGTAGTTGTCATGTTAACAGCTCCTTTTACCTTTGGGCCCCGTCCACACTAGTTCGTATTTGAGTCGTTTTCGTTGTGGATGCAGTGTTCGTCCACACTAATCTGTCTGAAAACAGCTCCAGAGACAAAACAATCTGGTGCCGCCAGCTCCCATGAATTCATCCGAGTACAGATCTGATGCGGCACTGTGTGGACTCCTCAAAACGCTGATACGCCGATGTAGGTCGATGCGCCGCGAAGTAGCTACTTCACCGCCAAAACGCTGAGAGGCTAGAATATATTCATATACATATGGTCTGTGCGTACGACCTGCAGATGTATAATCTCTGAAAAGTTTAACATGAACCATCTCCAACACGACACAAGCACAGAACAGACTCACCATCAGCAGAACATCCCTCTGTCACAGAAAGAACTCTCATGTTCCACTGAGTCATGTCCTTTAGTCCGACAGAAGCTGAACCGCATCAGTGCACAATACCGAGCTGTTTTATGCAAATTAGCCATGCAGTTTTAAGTTTCGTTCCTGTAAAACTTCAACAAAAATGCTCAAAACTGTGTGGATAGGGAAGGCTTGCGGACACAGAAACGACGAGTCTGGACGCAGATCATTTCCGATACGGTGATACGTGGATTTGTTTCAGTGTAAACAGGGTCTTGGTTCAATAGACGGGCAATTCCAGGGCTGAATGCAACCAAGTGATGTGAAGTGTTTAAAAACCCAGTGGAGCACTTCCTGTATTACCACATGACATCACAAGGTGGAACAGAGTGTCTTCAGTTTGAGAGAAGAACTCAGCCTAAATATGCAGGATTTGTGTGTTAAATGAAACAAAACACAGCTCCAGGTCTGTTTGTAATGAGAAAACAACATTATAACATAGATTAGAAAATTGCGTATTATGGGCCCTTTAAATAAAAATAAAAATCACTTTATTTATTTATTTTACAGACAAAGAAACAGCACTTTGATTCATACAATTAGCTCATTCAGCGCATCAATGCAGAAAGCAGATTAATTACAATGATATTTCCAATTTTAGTTTAGTTTTTAGTATTATTATATTATTTCCAGCCTTCTGTCTTTGCAGCTCTTCATAATTCTTTACTGTTTACTTCTTTTATGTTATTTTTATTAAACCAAAATGACTGAAATGGCAAGATTTTGTACAGCAGTGAGTAGACTTCATGATTAGTAGCATCATAGTCACAGTAATTATACAAGAGGTGTTTACTGCGCTGTTTTTGTTGCATTGAAAAGCTGAAAAAAACTTGAATTCTACCTACATTTTTTTTACTCCACCTTCGCCATATCTCACATCCAGATGAGTAACAGTGTGAATCAGAGGATGGAGTACCGCTTTTCGGACCGAGACTACCCCCTCAGGTTCAGTGTGGTAAGACAAGCCCACGCCCAAACCTACTGTGTGCCCTCCCTCTCCCCAGACAACTCCCCGTGTGGTGTGGTGTAATATTTTCGCTCCCAACACTGCAAAAAATTTAAACACACATGAGTTAAAATGACTTGAAATTTAAACTAATAAGCTTGGTTTGAGTTTGTTTGACTAATCTAGATTTAAAGAGGAACTGTAACTTTTTCTAGTGAAGGATCTACCATGTGCTTGTCTCCATGGAGATGTTATTGTTGTCCCAGAATGTTCCAAAGTGTAGCATTAAGCAAATCTGTCTTTTCGGAGACAAACAGGTGACATTACCGGTCAGATTAGTGGAGAGGCGACCCTGACTGACTGAGGTGGTGTCTACACAACAACATTTTTTGGTTAAAACGGTGAAGTTTTTATTCGTTTTGGCTTTTCGTCCACACTGAGCCGGTGTTTCAGGTGGGTGAAAACGGGTAGACAAACTGCAGCTTTTAGAAATTGATGACGACCCGACCCCCGTCATCGCCACGTGACCAGAGGAGAACCCCGCGCACCGACAGTTAACAACCATAACAACAACCATGACAGACAACGGAGTTCAGTTTGTGCTGCGGACGCTTCTAAGTTTATTTGCACTGTTGCATCAAAACCTCTTAATCTATTATGTCGTACAACACCAGCGGACACACATACACAACTAGAAAAGCACTCAGAGAGCGCAGACCTCCGCCAAGGACTACCCCCATTTTTTATATAAATTGCGATAAAATCAGTCTTCTGGATCAGATCCGGATCAGCCTTTGGAATATGAAAGAGGATCCCATTGTCCATCCCTGAGTCAAATTTCATGGGGTTTGGTCAATAATTAACCGAGATATTGAGAAACAAAATTTTTGGCCCCATTTACCACAATGTTAACTAAAATTTCAAAGTGATCCAGAATCCAGGATTTCTTCCGGATCACCCCCAAAATGAAATCAGTTCTTCCTTTTCACATTTCCAACAAATCCTGAAAATTTCATCAAAATCGGTCCATAACTTTTTGAGTTATGTTGCTAACAGACAAACAAACAAACAAACAAACAGACAAACGCCGGCAAAAACATAACCTCCTTGGGGGAGGTAATTAGACACGTCAGGTTCTTTTAAACTAAATTAAAGACAATACACACCCTGGATTCCACCTGTTCAACTTGTTGCCTTCTGGCAGACGCTTCAGGTCAATTCCAGCTCGGACCAACAGACTCAGGGGCAGATTCTTCCAAAAGCTGTCACCATGCTTAATGAGAACTGTTAATTAGTTTTATTTATTATTAATTCTTGCACTTTGACGGAGCAGCTCTGAATTTCATTATACTGTATAATGACAATAAAGGCTTTCTATTCTATTCTAAACCCACGACCGTGTAGAACTAGAGGGCCTAGTGTTGTGTGTCCAGTGGCTCTGGCTGTATCCTGTTTTCGGCACCACTTATAGGTGTGGCATAGTTTTACATAGTTTTCACTCACTGCTCCGTTGTGGTCTGGATGTGAATAGTTATCGATCCGATACGTGCGCGGAGGTGAATTTTTTTCAACCCACAAAAAAAATTTTTTAATAAAACCCAGGAGTGTTGTCGTGTGGACGTAGCCTGAATGAACATTAGATAATACTAAGGAACATTCCAGGCTAAGCAATAACATCTGCATGGAGACCAGCTGATGATGAGATGTTTTTTTTTTTTTTTTCCAGAAAAATAATCTGCAAATGGAATAATAAAATTGCACTTGGAATCCAAAATAGATAATAAAACTAACTTCACAGGCAAATAATTTAGCTTGAAGCATAGACTGTATATAAAAATTGACATTTTTAACCCACTAGCGCCGCGTTCCAAATAGGAAGTGTTCATGCGCGCTCTTCCGGCTCCATCGACTCTGGCTCCGATTGATTTTACACTGAAAAATTGTCAATCTTTTCTCTGTAACTGCTACAGTGAGCCTAGTAATTTTGGTCTTAAAATGTCCGTATTAATCCATTCTACATGATCCTGGTGTTATTTATGTTTATTTCGCAATTTTGTCAGTAAATCAGTTCCTGTTCCTAATATGAAACTCGGCTCTCAGTTTATTCCTATAACTGCAAGCCTCATGAGCTTCATTTGACTGGAGCTAAACGCTATAGGTGACGTCGTGCTCTCTTAGTCCGCTTCTTTATACAGTCTATGGCTTGAAGCGAAAATAAAATTCCTGTAAAACAACAACAACAACCACAAGCCGCTTTATAAATTCAAGTCATTTAAATTTCATTTTCAGTTTCCGCAGTCCTTTTTGCCAAGTTGAACAATACTGGCACTAACCTCCGCCAGCCCCGTGCACTGCCCCCGACAAAGAAAACCTGAATTACATCCAACATTTAACTGCGTGCACCAAAAACTCCATTCTAATTCTACCTTTGGAGCTTGTAGTATTTTGCATGACAAAGGCCTTGATTGGCACCGGTACGTGTGATCGGCAGATTGCGGTGAATTGTGGTGATTTTTCTCGACTGCTTGGTGTGACGAAAAATTGAAACGAAAAATAAAGCATTAACCAGAAAATTAAGGAAGACTTTTGAAAGAAGCATAGCATGTCTCCCTGGGCTTTTCCCCCTCGTAGTTACTAACAGGAATTGAATTGTGACATTGCCAACGCCGTGAAAACACTTGTACAAAAGCTCTATTATTCTAAGATGTCTGAGCCCCAGTGGAAGCCAGCCATTTTTCATTTGTAGCAGAAGATTCTTGTAGACATCGCAGGGGACTAACGCGTTTTTCGCAAGATATATGAAAGCGTATTAAAAGCTCAAGGGAGGTTCGCCGTTTCAACTCCAATGTAGCAGCGTGATTCTCAGGTTAACACGCCAGACGGTTTCAACTTCAGGGGAAAAGTAAAGAGTCAAAAATTAAAGGTGCTATACAACACAAAATTGACTCTTGTGAGCTTTAAGTCATGTTATAACGTTCTTACCTCGTCAAAAACATAGTTGGA